AAAATTTTTCTTTATTTTTTAACCACATATTTCCCATCAATACACTATTCAAAAATTTATTCTTTCCAAAAAAATGGGGCTCAAACAAGGGCTCAATATTAGTAATCAATTTAAATAAACAAGTTCTGTTAAATATAAATCAAATTGGATATAATCATTTTAGACTCATTCTATATATATACTCAATTTGATAGGAGAAAATGCAAATTTAGATTCTAATTAGTTGAAATTTTGATTTGGGAAAGTGAATATTTGTAGCATATGTGATAACTCGTGGAGAAATTATAAACAAATTTTAAAAAATTAAAAAGACTAAATTTTAGTGGGAAAACGTGAGAGAGAGTTGCAAAAGAGTGAGAGAAAAGAAAAAAAAAGTTTAAATTTATTGTAATTTTGCCTCTGTTTGGTGAGATTAAAATAAGACTTTTAGTGAATTTTAATAGAAGTTGAAAAGTTGTGACTCTCATTAAATATATTATTAAAATTAATTGTTAACTTTAATTTAGATTAAATTTAAGATTTTAATCCATACCAAACAGGACTTTATTTAAAATAAAAATGAAAAAAGAAACTGAAGTTCTGGGCGACCGCTCCTATGTCTGCCTGTGCTAGTGTCAAACACTGATTTAAATGACAATTGTATGACATTAAATAATAGTGTCACTTAATATAATGTAACATCATTCATTTAATTGAACATATCAAATATGACCATCTAAATTAATATTCTAGCGTCACTAGTATTAGCTAACATTATTCAAAATTAAAGAAGCCCCCTTGTGCTACATGAGCAATAAAACTAGCAGCATATCCAAAACCAGGGATCATACTATATGTACATCGAACTATCTACCTCGGTTTCTAACCCCCTCACATGGAGGGGGGTCGCTTCAAATAAAATATGATTTATTCAAAGTGGGCTCCCTCCATGCGAGAAGGATGAACACCACTTGATATACAAGTAGCATTATCCCCAAAAGCAGCTGCTCTTGTTCTACTTCTTCCACTAGCAAGTATTTTAGATTAAATTGTCTAATTTTTGGTACACATTATTTTATGTGGTGGCCATACTATATGGTCCCAAGCCAATGCTTTTGCTACTAATGACAACATCGAATGAGAAGAAATCATAATATTAATATTATGAAATTAGTAGGAAATTAATTTATATAATTTTCTTATATTTCAATTGATAGACGAACACATAAAGTATGCTCGTTAAGATGTGCAAAGTATTAAAAAAAAAAAAAATTATAGTTCTTTATAATGTCATGTTAGGGGCAAAAATACTAATTCAAGTTGTATTATTGTCCTCAACCTGCTATTCAAACCAAAATTAGTTTTTGGTCATATTTGGTACCATATGCTAAACGTACTCTTCAGTGTCAATACGTATATGCATTCTATAAGTGGCTATTCCTTGTTGGGAAGGAATATATAGAGAAGAAATTATCAATCACTAAACAAAGGACTTAGTAAAAGATCATTCACCTCATAAGTGAAGGTCTCATGTAAGAGTTGTTGGAAAATTACACCGATAATTGTGCATATTATTTCACAATAAACATATCATTTATTTGTATAAAATCGAAACGTATTCCAACTTACCGAAATTGGATTTAATAAGGTAAAATGAAAATTTACCGATTTTGAAGAATTTGAATGTGGAACCTTCTCTTTCGATTCTTGAACGATTGAACCTTGCAATATAAATATATAAATTAGATTAATCATTTTCTGAAATCAAATCATAATAAAACGAAATCAGAAAATGAGGATGAAGATGCAAGTGATGAATTTTTGGCTGAGTTAAGTGTTGGAACTTTGTCCTTAAGATGAATTTGTCCCGCATCGGTACTAACGATTTTTCGACAATCATCTTCCAAGATGCAACGACCACATCGAGCCATAGGAGCACTCCAAATGATTTCGACCAGCAAACTCGAACGGAATTCCCTCTCTACCATGACCATGACCATGACTTTGATGCAAAATCAAAGTGTAAATTGGAATGGAATAATATGGTATCTATGGCTTTTCTTGAATTTCTTGAATGATAATATTCAAACATATGGGGTCTATATATATTAGTTGGAAAGGTATGTCAAAAGGTATGTCGTAAGTGTTGGAACTTTGTCCTTAAGATGAATTTGTCCCGCATCGGTACTAACGATTTTTCGACAATCATCTTCCAAGATACAACGACCACATCGAGCCATAGGAGCACTCCAAATGATTTCGACCAGCAAACTCGAACGGAATTCCCTCTCTACCATGACCATGACTTTGATGCAAAATCAAAGTGTAAATTGGAATGGAATAATATGGTATCTATGGCTTTTCTTGAATTTCTTGAATGATAATATTCAAACATATGGGGTCTATATATATTAGTTGGAAAGGTATGTCAAAAGGTATGTCAAAAGATACAATCATACCAAGAGTCACATCTTTTGGAATTTATTTCTATACATTAAGAGACACAATTATTGGAAATTAATCATACCCATATCAAGAGTCATGATTTTTCACATGAAAAGATAAACTTTTCATCCACATATTTCTAGAATATTCCACAATATTCTATACGATGTTCCAATAATTTCAAGTATTAAGCGACTTTATATTTGGCCTAATTTCTCATTCACCAAATTAAGAATTTCACTTAAATAATTTTGTAAACCAATTTTACATACAAAATTCCAACAATCCCCCACATGAATGAAAATTAATGTAAATGTCTATGCAGACACTAGTAGAGAGAGAGAGAGAGTAGGAAAACACTGCATCAAGTAAGGTAGCTTCTGGCTTTGAACCTTCCTTAGTGAAATACCATCGAATTTACTAGCTAATTGGTGAACGCGATGTTCTTGAACCATCAACCGTTAGTATAAACCAAGATAACAGTACTAAAAAATGACTCCCATAAACCGTTCATGGTTCTCATGACTTGGTTCATTTTGGCCCTGAACCCATCTTAGTTTTGTAAGTGTTTAGAGAATTCAAGCCTTGAATAATTATCATTGAAGTGGCCCCACTTCGCACTTACATAGGTGATCTCCTATTAAGAGTATTCTGCCCTACTCCACTTGACTTAATCAAGATATAGGAATTATTAAAAGTTTATCTTAACTTTCAATCGCTCTGCAGAAAGCACTTTGGTATCATAGGAATGAGTTAGGAAATTAGTTTCCTAAGTGCTTCATAGAATCCCCATAACTTAGTTGTAGTAGCCGAGAAAAATAAAATGAAATTATGCTAATATTTTGTGATGATCTAGCACCACGAGCCTAACCCATTTTAGAAACGACCTATGGAAGCTCAACCCATGTAAAATTACGAAAGCTCAAGTCATAAATTAATTAAAAGTCCAGCAATTTAAGAGATTAAGTTTAAGTAAAATTGATTACAAAGATTTAATGAATAACTGGGTTGCCCCAATAGTCATCTACATGATATTTCATATAGGCAATCCAGGTTCAAATCACCATGTAGATGTTTTTTTTATAAAACTTTCATATGAATTATTTTTATGGCTTAGAAACTCTTCAAATTTTTAGTTAAAGACTAAATTTAATAAATTTAATGATAATACAACTCCCCTACTTAATTTTTCATTAAAAAGAAAGGTTATAGAAGTGAAAGGTCACTTTTTCACTACACTCCTCTTCAAATCCGAATTTCATCTCATTTTCTCTCAAAAAAAAAAAAAATATTTCATATCAAGTTAAGTTTAGGGAATAACAAGGGTGAAAAGAAGGAAAGCTTTCTATACATTTTGTTCTTTTATCCAAGAAAATTCAAGGTAGGTAGAGGTGCAAGTGTTCATTCGTTTTCAAATCTGATTTTTCCATAAATGTTTAAATGAAATGGTACCTTCAGATACGGTACTTCAGCACTACAACAGTTTGAATGATCATTCTCCGGCTCTACGTGTTATGATAATGCTATAGTAATCGGATTTTGCCGAAAATCCATCTACGTGCGACGGTATGAATCTATAGTTCGAAATTTCTAATTTGATAACGAATTGCAAAGATGCTATCTAATGAGTTTCAAACTCATGGATTAATTCCCTTCCTACAGGTTGAATGGATTTTCCTTGGGGCGTAGATGATGGTAAAGGATGATGCAACATGTCATGGAGAAGCTGACGATTTACATCTTTAGTTGATTTTGAGATGTTTACACTTTCTTTAAATTTGATTCCTATGAATATTGTGTGGATTTATTTTACGAACACTCGTTATGAATAAACTATGTTTGAAAGTAGATATGCGTCATATGAATAAATTTACAAATCACCATATAAAAAAAAAATAAAAAAAAGTTAGCGACTTAAAATTTTAATGTCTCTTTAGAAATTTCAGTTTC